AAATTAGATGACGAGGATGATGAGGGTGAGGGCAGATGCCAAAATAGCAAACAGCTAACTGGAAGCGTTTTGCTTGAACATGTTCAAATATGTCTCGTAAATCGATCATTACATACATACTTAGTGGAGAGGAGGAGAAGGTGAGATGTTATTTCCATTGTGGTTGACATGTTATTCGGCTAGTCAGACACACGCACAGACAGACAGACATGCAGCCAGCCAGCCAGACATTCTCGCAACCGCATTTAGTATATTTTCCTTCTTCATTCGTCTCTGCTCCGTATTATCATTTGCACAGATGGGGTCATAACCATAGCCATCCGATGGATTATAAATAACAAAAAAGTTTTTCCTTTGTTGTTGTAGTTGTATACATATGTATATTTGTTTATTGTTGTATATTTATATTGTGTTGATGATAAGAGTAATTTCGCCAGAATTTGTTATTTTAATTCAATAAAGCTTCCTATGAAGCTGAATAAAATTCTCTGTGGAATGCAATGCAATGCGTGGATGTTAATGGAGAGTAGTCAAGGTGGCCATGTGGTTTTCGATACGGGCATTTGTTGTGGGATAATTTCCTTGTTATGGGTGAATGCAAATTTCAGGAACACCCAAACCACATGACGCCCGTTGATTTTTCGTTTATTACATATAGATGCACATACAATTTTAAACTATGTTATAATAAAGGACGACGCAATTGTTTACCCTTGGGTTATGGTTAATAATTTAAACCATATCATAACTCAATTTGGTCACACCTGTTTTTGCTGTCTATGTTTTTTTTTCTGTGGACACGCATATTTTAAACATTAGAGGATTTGTTTGTTTTGTCATTGTTGTTGTTTTAGTTTGATAAATAAAAGCAAACTGAGGTCATCATCAACAACTTGGTGTCCACCAACATCATCACTATTTTTAAAACCACGAAAATCTTTCGCTCACAGCGCAAAAAAAGGGTGTTTCCATTTTATTTTACCGAGTAATTAAATTTAATTAAAGTAAAAGCTCAAGTACACGAAGAACAACACAGAGGCAACAACGAATGTGTGGATCAGATGTACTGGCAAAATTATTTGCTGCTTTTGGACAATAACAAAAACGAAAGATACAACGTATTATTTTTAATGTGTTTAAATATCTATAACAAGTGATCGTTCCAACACGAGGTCAAGAGCTTTTCCAATTTTCAATTTCATGAGAAAAACATTTTTTTTTTTTTTAATTTTTGAGAAGAACAAATTTAGATTTGGTTCCTGTTCTTTATCTTCATTTTTGGTTTGTCTGTACACTCATTTTAAACAAAATTCATACATATATGTATGTGAATGTGCATATATGTTTGTATATGTTCTTTTTTTGGGCATATACATAATGTGTGTGTAAAGGGTTATGGAAGAAGTTACTAACATAATGGTAAAATTGACTCCATTATGTTAGTAACTTTTCCATAACAACTTAATTTGGAAAATGTGAAAATGAATACTTAAATAAATATCGATTCAGATACACACAAATGTATGCTCAATTAGTTATTATTTGCTGTCTCCAAATTTAGATGTGAAGATCTGAGTAAATAAATTTATTAATTTTTGTAAAGCTCCTAGAGGAGTGCACTTCCGAGGTTATTCTAGTATACCCAGTGGACTGTACAGAAGAACGTGCACATTAAGATGTTTAGAATACGTAGTTCTTACTTGGATCCCGGTCACAAGAGTCTTGTCGAAAACGAAAAATTATATAAACTTGCTTAAGCTGGATCCCATTTTACAGGATCTTATATGGCGCCAGTCGATACTTCTTTGGGAATCGAGCACAACTACCTTGATTAACCTACATTGACATAAACTATCAAAACAAGTACTTACTGTACTCTGTCCTATGGGAAACCATTGAAACACGTTAGGGATCGTAAACTGCCAAGTAATTTGCCACCCTTACCCGCAACCCTAAAAGCACGTCAGAACATAAATCTATTTTTAAATGTTAAAAATTCTCATAAAAATAATTAACAGCCAAATTTGATTGAAAAGGATCAACTTTTGGCCCTCAATTTAAGTGTAATAAATCGGTACGGATTGGTGAGCGATATGCCAAAAAGTGGTAATTCCAGCTAAAAATATTAAAAGTACTGATATATTCGTTGATATTACTTCTAGTAAGTTTGAAGTGAAAAAACAAAAAAGTTTTGAGATTTTTTAGTTGAGATTTTACCAGACACACATATGTCGCTGGATCGACATAGTTGTCTTTTACTAAATTTGCCTACAAATGAAATCGAATGGAAGGTCAACAACAAGTCAGGAACTCTCACGATTTGATATTGTTTACAATCTATGCTAGTATTTATTGATATATGAATACCTTATCCTATACCCCATTCTGCCAAAAACCAACAGACACACGCACATTTCTATATTAAAATTAAAAACAAAATTCAGACAAAAAATCCTTGCCTGCTCGCCTGCAATGGCATCATGTAAATGAATTGTGAAATGATTTCATTTGTGGCTGACCTTGTGATTGAAAATGATAATTCAGTTTAGTTGTTCAGCAGTTTAGTAGCTGTCAGCAGTTTTGGCATCATATACCGCGGTGTACTGCACCTTGCTGTGTATTTTATGATATATTTATATCTTGGCAAATATGAAAACCAAAGAACTCATCAGCCGATTGTGGGTGATTTATCATTGTGTCGTTGTTTTCTAATGCAGTCGTCAATCAATATTTTATTTAATGGGCGAATGATTAATATTTTGTATTAATATCACTCATACGTCTAGCCTCATATAAACTAGGTGATGGGATTAGAAACTTTAAAAGCTCAATTGCAATTGTCAGTGACAATGGCGTAGAAGTTGACACTGTCGTCACTGCAACAAACACACACACAACAGAGCTTCCCACAACGAATTATCCTGGTCGTTTTTTCTGTTTTGTTTTGTCGTTTCATTTTGTTTTGTTAACGCACCTCCACGATTCGATTCTTTAATTCTTTGTTTTTCACCACAAATGAAGTGTTCGCATTTCATTTCAGTATAATTTGCGCGTTTTAAGCATTTACAGGCTTTGCGGGCTCGGTTCAATTTGCAAGAAGCGAAAAAAATATTCGCTATTCTCTAACTAAACATCCTGAAAGAAATCTTCTCCCAGACAAAGTGTGCGTGACTAGTGGTCATAACCCTGCTGGAAAAGGGAAATTTCCAAGTGCGATTTAATGATATGACATATATTGACGTCATTGCCGAAACTCTATAAATATGAACCACAAAAGAGAATCTGAATCGACTAAGTAAAATCCGTAATTCGCCACAATGTTGGGGCCATTACCGAACAATCAGTGAATAAATTTGATATTAAATCGATACATTTATACCAAATTGATTGATATCTGTTGATGTCGTCGTCGTTGTTGTTGTTGTTTGGCAGAGGGGAGGTGGCTGTTGTTGTTTTCTGGAAAATGTGAAAAATAAGGAATTATTTGTTTACACACTCGTTCGGCCAAGGGGCGCCTCTTGTATTATATTGGCGAATAATATATTGAATAGGCATACAAAACCATAACAGAGACCACAATAAGTTCGCAGCTATCGGCATAGAGGTCATTGTACTGCCTGCCCATTGTGAAGGGTAAGATTTTGTTGTTGTTGTTGTAAATAATGGGAAACAATATTCGTTTGGCCACTAAGAGCATAGTTCATGTTATGCCATTTCCAAAGAAGATTAAATTGGACAAATGTTATTTGCGTATATACTGTGAGGTGATAGGGTTATTTGTTAAGTATGAATTTATTCGGTTACAAACTGTCGACACGGAATATGTTATGTTCGCCAACATATGCTAGTGCAATATTGGTTTTCAAACCTTTAAATGTCTTATTTTCGTTACTAGGGCTGCGAACTTGGTACTGATCTTTTATTTATATATATTATAGGGTTGTGGTGGAATGCATAGTAAAGAAAATATATAGAAAAATTTAGATTTTTTTTTTGCAAATGGTCGGGTTGAATCTCAGTTTCTAGTTTTTATAAAAAAAAACAACTATTTATTAATGGAGAATGTATGGCATTGTCCGCCGAGGGGTAAGGCAGAGAAGACAATAGTTTCGGATCTCGCCACTGATCCTCATCAGTTCTTTTAGTTTTTTGTTGGGATATATATTTATTGCTTCTTTGCTCGAAAAATCCTTTCAAAAGTATATTGTGACAAAGCGAAGTACTTACGTTACAAGCTATAACACCTCTATGAGAAGTTCGTTGGTGCCTGACTTCGTGGTCAACAAGGCTTTTGCAGACAACTACAATATATTTCCCACTGCTATGTGTCCCACTGCTTATGTTTTGAACAACAAATACGCTTTCAAATATTATTTCGCCTTGGTTAACATTTCAATAATTGTATTTCAGTTTTAGTTGCATATTTTTAGGCTTTATACATTATCTATATTCCGTACAACATTTCCTAATAAATACACAAACAAAGAATAAAAACAAAACAACAATTATTAAATTAAATTTTCCTTTCTTTTCTACAGATAAACGCCATAAAAGAATCCCACGAAGTGCCATACGGAAGAAGAAATAAGAAACGTAAACAGTTGGACTTGGATTGGATAACGGCTGCACATTTACCTACATTCACACACACACACGTGCATGCATTCACAACAATTATTAACTACTGACTTATTGACTCGCAACCACAAACGGGATTTTTTTGCAAAACTTGTGTGTTTCAAACATCTTTTTTACATTAAAGAAGATACGGTAAAGAAAACACGCCAAAACAGAAAAACAAAAACAAAATATTACAAAGAAAAAAGCTTTAGGAAAGCTTACAGTGGAAATAGAAAATCCAGAAAGAGAGAACTTTGTGTCGACAGACACAACCAAACAAGAAAAGGTCGGACGAAACCGTTCAACGCATCATAACGAACTTCATACAGTTCCCGGGGAATTTGTATGAATTATTATCACGCAGAACACAGACCAACAAAATGGCAGATAAATTGAAAACGACCTCTAGCATATCGTCGAATACAACACAACAGGCTTCCACTGCTCGGCCCAATAGCAGGGAGGCGGAGCTGATGACCAAGCTGGCCGAACACATCAGCGACAGCTATCGAATGGTCAAGCATCGACAACATAAGTTGTACGATCTGACAAATCAAATGAAAATGCAAGATCACAACTCGGCCGCTGGTCGGTTGAGGGATGGCAAATTGTCGTCGGACGAAGAATGGCAGGAGGTGTATTCACCTAAAAACAAACTGAAGCGCAAGAAGACCCTCTCGGCGTCATTGACTTCAGTGACAGATTCTGTGAATCAGGAAAAACGTACTCGTATCGAGGGTATACAATTGAATTGTCGCGGTAAATTGAATCTGAAGGAAAATCAGAATACAAGCGCGGAAAATCAAAACCGAAAACAACATCCGCACCAACAACAACAAACACAAAGGCGTTCAGCCATAAATTTGGAAAAGCCAGAGAAATCAAATGGCAAACCTCCGTTGCCACCAAAAATCGCCAATCAAAGTGAAACTACGCCAAATGCCAAGGCGCCAGGAGTTACACCACCTCCGCCCAGACTCAAGCGTAAGCTTCAGGAGAATGTTCAGACAATACAAAAGTTAAATGCTCTGGCAGAGCAATTACGTTTGGAAATTAATGAACTTAAATCCAACCTGACCACCGAAAGGGGAGCTGTACGAGTGCTGAGGTAAGTCGCTAGTTACAATTTAAATTGTAATTAATATTTCTAGGTTGGGGACATAAAGTCGCTCATGTCAAAAATAAGATAAATTGATAAGATAAGATAAAAATAAGATGAATTAAATATAATATTCAACTGAGATGAGGATAAAATAATAATAATATTCAACTTATCTAGTAGAAATTTGAAATACAGTACGAATTCCTTCAAGTATCCTTTTGGGTTTAATAGCTGTTCGAACCATAACACCAATTTTCTGAATGGAAAATGTGAATATTGTGGGCTTATCTAATATCAGTCGATGTTGCCTACCCTCTGACCGTACAACTGTAATATAAATTTATTTTGATTTGTATTATAATGTTAACCATTTGGGGCAGGTACCAGAATGCCTATATATTGCATCTTTGGCGTCATCTAAATTTCAAAAGAAAGTTATTTGATGATCAGTCTAACCCATTTATTTTTCCCATTTTGAGGATATCTTGTTTAGACTCATTAAAGTTAATTAATTTTTAAAATTTCAATTTTTCGAAATCTATATTCTATATTATGAATGTACGTATATTATATTATGAATTTTATTTTCTAAGTGCTACATTTATAATATTCATTTCGATACTTTTAATAAAACAATTTCTTCCTTTTTCTTAGAGCTCAAAATGAAGCTGAAACTCGAAAATGGAAAGCCGAGGTAAAGAAACTGCAAAATGTTGTTGAACATTTGAAGAAAACTGGCGTCCCAAAGAAGACATCCGAGACATCCTCAACCAATGCAAATGCCGATAACTTGCCACAGGCCGCTGTGGGCGGCCTCGTTAACTATGAAATCCAAAGACTGACCAATGAAATTAATGCCTTAAAGGAAGCTAATAAAGCCCTGGAAGAAAAGAAAGTGGTAAGTCAAGAAACCGATGTAGTGCTCTGTTCAATGTGCTTTGTTGAAGTGTTGCCCAAATGTTTTGCATGCTGTTCGCATTACCTTGAACTTGAATCCATGTCCTTCTTGCATCCATGTCCTTCGTTTGTTGTCCTCCATTCGCCTCAAAATGCCACCCTTGCATTAATCATTTCCCAAAGAAAATAAACGCCAGCAATTAACAAACCCATAGCCCAAAAGCAGTAGGCAGCCTGAAAGTGGAACAACTGCAAAACTTCAGGTTCACTGTCGTCACGTCTTTGCAGTTGGCCATTCCGACGAGACCTTCGAAAGACAGCGCTCATCATACTGTCCCAGTAATGAAGATATCCGAATTCTTGCGAATTGCGTATCAATCTATTTATATAGCCCAAATAGGGTGATCCATAGGGTACGATATAGACGGCATGGAACGGAACAATGCACTGGGCCATGGCATGGTAACAGGGCTTTCCACCCAGTGAATGTTTACGGGAATTTGCCCGGAATACTGAAATGTGATTTTTCTGCAAATAGGCATAGGAGAGATTATTGCTGTCAATGAGTTCATTGAAAAAGGCATCGGGTAGGGGTACAATCTTTTGCCTCAGCATTGCCTCGGACGGTTTATGCAGATCCAAATAGCGATTCAGGTGTTTTATGTGCCGTGGCAATGTTGCCAGGGGATATTTAGATTCCGCCAATTCTTGCAGAGTATTTACATCCGGTAAATACTCTCGGTCCACAAGATTACTGGTCAAGTTGCCCTTGAATGCGGCCGATATGAGGAGACCATAGACTAGCCAAACATAAAAGAAGAGTCGTGCGGACATTCTGGATTTCTGTAGCTTGGCACGTGGTGTTGAAATAATGCAGGCCAGGAGGTCCAACAATAGCTTGTCGCCAGCGAAGATGTTCCGATAGATGAGTAAACAAAAGAGGTACGCCATGGCCAAACTGACGCAGATTAAAGCCCAAACACTGATACTGAAAGAACGAAACAGATTCCAAAATGACGAAGCTATCTTGGCCTTGGGTATCAGAACACATAGATCATCACGATTCAGAACAATGGTGTACTCAACGCGGCCATAAAAAGTTTCCAACGACAGGAAACGAATATTTGTGGCAACGTCGTCGATTTCATTGAAGGTCTCCTTGAAGCATAGATCCTCACTGATGGAATCATTGCCATAGCTTCCGATGCGCCTCACAATGGGAGTGGCATTCAGACGTTCCACTAAATATGTCGTCATGAGGCCATCGGTGCCCATGATGTTTGCATTACCATTTTGGAAAATCGTTCGAATATTATCCTGATAGAGGCAAATTTGCAAAGGACTTCCTCTCATGTTTAGCATATCCTTGGGATAGAGATTATCTAAATCAAAATGTCTGGGTCCCAAAGCAATGCGACGACTTAATTGTTTGGCGAATGGATCGTAACGATACACCAGAATATAGCGGTTCCTTGATTCAGTATAGATAACAACGACATTGAGTATCCACATTTTCCAGAAATTCTGAAATGTTGTCAGCAGCCATTTCTCCGTCACCGAGTGGGAGTCCTGAATCAAAATCATTATATAGGTCAAGTGTTTGGCGGCGGATTTCTTGCGAATTATGCTGAGATCCATGATTTGGGTTATGTCACGTAAAATTATTACCAGGTGGAGGAGAATGCCATCATCTGAGATGATTTTCAAATGTGAATATTGCTGATCATTTCTGAAAATTAAGGCACGGATAAATAATAAAAGTGGGTTGATATTACCAAAACACTGGCTGTTATACCTTAAGGCCACATAGGATATGCCGCAATCATTCAAATCCCTTAATATCTGTCCGGAATATCTCAGGGACAAATCCGTTTCATGGTAGACATGAACCACCTTCAGGTGAGATTTACAAAATACACCCTTTACAAAGTCAGTGAGATGGCAACGTTTTGGATCCATCCACGAGTTATTGAATGCCGCCGCATAGAAATGTTCGCCTGTGTGCTGCTGCAGCTGAGACGTGGAAATACAGCTGATTGCAATACCAAATAACCACAAAACCAGCCACATTGTTAACAACTAACTGGCCGAGGGAAGAATCCCAATAGCTTTTATATGCATCGCCTTTGTTAGAAAATTTCCTATCCGCTGCATTCGACTGGTTATTGGATATGCTTATCATCGTAATGACCAAATGTCATTCACTGGCTTATCATTGGCGAATCATCTTTTCAATTTATTTAATGCATGACTTCTGGAAGCGAAAGAACAAAAAGATGTCCAGTGTTTTATTGTCACTTTCCGAGTGAGGAGCTTGGTTACGCCTACGGGATGTTCTGCAACGCATTACTGCCAATCTTATTTTTTAATCCTACTAACATTGTTCGCATGCCAACAATAAACGCCTTCTCTATTTGTTTCATTTTGACAAGTTATGAATGTCCGTTCGTGAATTGTTTTTTGTTCGCTGAGAGTGTATCAAGGATATTAAAATTCCTTAATATTTTGGGGACCTTTCCTGCGATTTTCTGTTGTTGTTTTTTTTGTAGATTAATTGCGACGCTGATAGAAGAAAAGCAGCTGATATACGCGAATTAAAAGATTCTTATGAAATCCGATTGACTCAAATACAAAAATCTGCCAAAATTGAAATATCACGATTGGTAAGTTGTTGTTGTAGTTGTTTTGAAAAGCATTGAGAACAATTGTGTAAATATAAAAATTTTGTTGATGATATATATAATCTCATATGTATCGTATAATAAGAAGTCCTCAAAAGTTTTTTGTGGCGACGTAGAATTTTGTAGGTGAATAGTAAAGCTCCAAATCTGGATCCTAGAAAGGGGTTTATATTTTCAAATTGGAGAGTTTCAGATGGAAGGTTAATCACACTACACACTCTGCCATTGTAAGGTGGGTTTTAAAATACACAACTTGCGACTTATTTCTCGGATATCGATTTATTTGATAGATCGCTGTACTAAATATTACTGAAATCAAAGCATGTGGACATACCCTACCAAGGATTCTTGATTTCATATAATACAGTAAAATATTCCTGTTGTCATTCTGTTTTATTTACGATATACTTTTTCTAAACTAAATAAACTCCAATACAAGAAGGGAATCCGAAATGTACATTCTTCCGATTTCATAACGTCTTATTAAACATACTTTTCACTTTATAAGGACACAATTCGAATTACCTCACTCGAATATTTGTGTCATATTTTTTCATTCAGGTTATTGTGATCTCCTAAACATTCCTTTCCAAGTCATTGAACCCGATCTCTAATCACAAAAAGTCTATAGATTTTTTTTAATAATTGGACATTTTTATCGTCCTGTTACACCTTCAAATGTATCATAAAAATCCCTGCAATTTGGTTCTCATTGATGTCTGGCTTTGGCTTATTTGCCAATCGGAATGAATAGCCTGGGGTTTTCAACAACAAATTAGAGTTCATTCATATTTTGCTGTTCGAGCGAAGCAGGGAACAACAGACAGTTTGGATTTTTTGGACAATGGAGTTTAAAGTCTGCACAAGATACCCATGGATGTGCATACATAAATATGTGTATGTGGTGGTCGTCTTGTGGCGGTATGTCTGGACATAAGTGTCCATATGAATGAATCAGAAACGAAAAAAACCGGCAAAGGCAAACATTTAGGATAAATCGAATCAAAATATTTTCTCACGTCGTTTTTTACGACTTTGCCGTTTTTTTTTTTGTTATTGTGCGGAATAGATGAATGTATGGGTGATTGGTAGGAGTTTTTTGTTGGTGGTTTTCCTAAGCGAACGCATAATTTTGAACTGACCACATGTGTGTTTCGTTTGACTTGTTCATAGTGCTGCATATTTAGCAACATTGTTCGACAAATTGCGTAAACTTTGGCCAATAAGGACAAGACCTTTAAGCCACAGCATTTAACAGTGTGTACTATTGGCTGAAGGTGGGAACTATAAAACATGGAATTCGAATACGTTTGTAGATTAATATTGGCGGCACTTATTTTTTTATAAAAAACCAATTCATATTTGTTTTCGAACATTTTTTATTAATATTGTATTTCTCTTCTATTTCTTTCTACCATTATAGCTAGAGGAAATAAAAACCAAAGAACGTAATATTGGGCAACTGAAAAAGGATTTACAGACATTACAAAACTCAAAGAGTTTTACCAGCAGAAATGCAACGACAAATAAATCAAATATTTCAACGAATAAAACGACGACGCTTAATTTAGATAAAAAACCAAAGATTAGTACTAACAACTGCAACAGCAACAACAACAATAATAATAATAGCAACAATGCAACTACATCAAGTAGTAGTAATAATAATAATGACAAAACCCAGATGCTGCCACCTAGCGGTGTTTGCTGCAATTGCAAACAGCAAATGCCGCCGCAACAGCAGCAGCAACAACCACCACAAACGGAAATCCGCCAAACAACATCGTCTAACGATGTTGCATCAAACATCCCCATCACACCTGTTAAGGAAGAATGCAACGTGGAAACAAAAGAGAAGGAAACCCAAACAGAGTTGGAAAACTCCGAAGAGGTGAGTTCGGAAATATTTTTGTGTTTGTTTTGTATTTTAGAAAAATGATGGTTAGAGGGTTTATTTTGATCTAAAAACAACTGTAAAATATTTCAACGTATATATATATATATATTTTAGATTATGACTGAGATTTATAAAAACAAATCATGCTATTTTGTTTTGTGGAGGTCTTCGGAATTACTGTCTAGTCCCGAGGTGGGTCATTTTTATGCCTTCAGCCTTATGGCTAATGATGGTATATACACTTTGATACGGTGAAAATATGTCTTACCGAAATATTGGTTTTTGATCCCATTTTTTAGACCAAATCCGTTTTAGAAAATTTGAAATCGATTTACAAATGTCCGTCCGTCTGTCTGGCCGACTGGTGCGCACTATAACTCTCAAAGGGAATAATCGATTTCATCCAAACTTTACACATCTTGATATTTTTTCCAAACTTAGTTCAAGTTCGAAGACGGGGAATATTGGCCAACTCCTTCTGGCGTGCAAAAAAATTTTATAATATCATGCGAACGAACTATCCCATTTGAACCAAACTTTGTACAACCTATTACCTTTACCAACCGTAGATGAAGCCTAAAGATCGAACCCATTGTCCACTCCCATGGTACCTCTCCCACAAAATGTAATAATTTTCAATATTTATAAAACCAATATATATTTAAACCAAATTTTGGGAAATCTTTTAACTTTACAATGCCTAGATCAAGTTCTCCCCCAGAAAGGGTCATTATTTTATAAATTTGTAAATTTTATTAAATTGTACCAAAATTAATAACCGATTTGATCAACATTAAATCTGAAACCTCTTTGATAAAAACATACCTTATATATAAAAAAACCCTGTGTGTAATTCCGCAAACCATCAGAAGGAGTTGAATGATTATATTTTATATTTGATTTACAAAATTTCAACATGTTCACACTTTGTGGGAGAGGTTGTGCAAAGTTTAAGTCAAATCGGATAGAAATTTCATATCTTCGAAATTGATTTAAGTTTTTAAGAACTATTGCGATGTGCAAACTTTAGAACAAATCGGTTAATTCCTTCGTTAGTTATCGTCTCAGACAGACGGACATTTGCAAATCGACTCTAAATTCTCTGAAACAAATTTAAAACCAATATTTAATGAGGATATTTCCATCCTCATTAGCCAGAAGGGTATACAAATATGTCATTTTTCAGTAAGGGCCATATCAGGCAATATTGTAGTTTAGATCTCGTCACAAATTCTCATTAGAGCCCCTAGTTTTCTGAATAAGTCGTGTCTTCACCCATAAATCAGTCATAATCTCATAATAAAAGCATTAATAACACCTAAAACAATAGGAACCGTCGAACAACTCTGTTCGTAATGAAATCCATATACGTTATTGAAAACTTAGATTTGTATGTAAGGTATCATTCCCATATACACGAAACTCACCACAAACCAAATAGCTATGTACGGTGTTGTTCAAACATCGAAAAGCCGGTTTTCAACCCCAACATCATACCAAACACATTACCGTTGTTTGACTCTTCAGCTGTTTTGGTCGGCTCGGTTTTGTTGAATGACTGGCTGCATTGTTTACCTAGCCGAATGCCAATGCCGATTCAGTTGTGTTTGAGAATTTGAGCTGAGTTTTTGTGAGTACGGGTCGTCAGGTGCGCATGCGTATGGCGCGAACATTTTTATCGACAAATGCTAATGAATCTTCAAATCAAGCAAAACAGAAAAAAAGTGAAAATTGATTGTTCAATTATGGCAAATTAAAAGAAAAGAATAGTAAAACAAAAATAATAAAAAAATTGCAACAAATTAACAGCATTTACGATTGTCATAAAAAATAGAGAATTATATATAGAAGAGTGCGATTTTGTTATTTGAATTTCTAAGCAAAACAAAACCAAAAAAAAAGGAATACCATTTGCGAAACGTTTTTCTTTTGTTGCTGTTATTATTTATTTATGGGCCAATGTTATGGTCCGCTGCTCGGTTGGCCTTTAAAGCAATTCAAGACCTATTAAAAAAATAATAAAATAAAACTAAACGGGCGAAATCCACACAAAAAAGAACCAAAGTTGTCTTCGTCTTTGTTTGTGTTTCTTTTGTATTGAACGAGAATAAATTGAATATTGCAAAACGTCAATGAAGAAAAAAAAAAGATTCTCGTGGTGCGTTCAAAAACATTTGTGAAATTCAATACCAGTAAGACAAGTTTCTTCAGTAAATCACATTAAAAAGGCGGTAATAAGATATTCCGAAAAAATATAAAACAACAACAACGAATACAAAACAAGTGCATTTTTAGCCACCAAAACAATTGAGGTGTTTGATGTGCCTTCAAACAAAATGTGTGTACGAAGCCTTTTACTCGGTGCATCAGTCTGCGATACACCTGCATAAAGATTGAAGAGCGGAAGAGAGGGAGAACAAGATAAATCCCAAATAAACAAACATTTCCATTCAGTGTTTATCTTTTTTCTTCAATTTCAAGAGCAAAGTAAATGCCACTCGATCGTTTTATTGTTGAGTAATTTGAGAGGTTCCATTCGTGTGTCCGTGTGTGTGTGTGAGAATATGTGTCTGGAATTTCAATAATCATCGGATTCCTGTTTTCGGGACTCATTTGGTTTCAATGTTTGTTTTTTGTACGAAGCCTTTCTTCGTTCGTGATGCTACTTTAAATTGTTTCACATGGCTGACTGCCTGCCAGCCAGCCTGCCTGTTTGTCTGTAATGTCATACTTTTACATGCGGTTTCCATCACAGGCTTCACATCACTGGTCGTCGTCATTCCTTCCACTGCCGTTCCTTGCCATGGGGGACACGCATACATATAATCGTCAACATCTTAATGACATAGGATTTATGTTTTCCTGTTTATGTTGTGAGTGCTGCAACGCAATGCGAAAGGCACCTGCAGGTTTTCCAAACATGAGAGGATGACAAAAAAGGATCTATTTTAGGGTTTTGTGTAAACACAAAATTATTGTATAGCTGAAAGGTTCTTCCTACTAGTGAATATTTTTCAATTGATTGTAATGACATATGCATTTACAAGCGGAAGCTATTATCACTTCTGATGAGGATTTTAATTCTAAATATTTTCTGGGGTGTCATAGTACATGGAACTGAAGAATTGTATATGATGATTTGCATAACATTTGTTATACCCTCCAGCAGGAGAAAAGTTTTCAAAATTCTTAAAATCGGTCGAGACACTTATATTTCTCTCTGATTTTGCTCTTCAAACTTATAATGACAAATGATCGACAAATCTGGTGGAAATACGATTAGAACCATAAAAAATACATACTATGAGGCGGAGTCATTATATGGGGCTATTTCAGAACATGGACATACATTCACAATTTTCTGCAATGCGTTCTTATACCCTATGAAAATCTGAAATGTTTTAAAAATTAGGCAAGAACCATTAAATTGCTTTTAATGGTGAGGGGACTGTACCAAGATTCAACTTCTTCGGGTGATAAATGCGATTAAAACTTTCAAAAATTGGTCTGTACTATATAGTGGCGATATCCATCGGGATTTTGAACAGGCAGACATCATATGCTCCAAATGTGATGGAGGAACGTCGGTGCCATATCGGCGGATCTAACATTATTGGAAACGTTATATGATCGAAGGATTATTTGGTCCGCTGTCCACAATTATTTCCAAATAGAAATGTTAATTGTGCATCGATGACAATTCCGATCTATTAAAATAATTTATTTGCAAGTTGAATAAATAGAATGATTGACGAAATCACTTAGTTTTATTCTAATCCGCTATGTATGACGATCAGAGAACCACAATTTTAGTCCGGAACCAATCATTAGTGTACTGATTACAAATTCCCATTCATTCATGAATTGTCACAACAAAAACAAAAAAATACAGATGCTTCTGAATTGTTGTTAATTAATGACTCAATTACACAGCAAATTAGCAAAGCTTCTAATGAATTGTCATTTTCGAGCGATTGAAATGTGCAAAAGTATGAATCAAATCTTGAAAACCACAATAGAAAACATTTCCAGCATTCTTCGCCTGGAAAGTGAATCATTCATAAAAAACACAAATACCAGTCATAGTTGGCAAGGTGTTTTTTTTTTCGATTTTACCTGACCCAGTCAACAGCTTTACGCTTTTTTATACAGTTTGCTTAGAAATAAAACTGTTAATTCGCTTTGTTGTTGCTGTTGTTGTTTTTTATGTGTTATCAACTGTCGAATGAATTCCCATAGTCTGGGAGTTTATTTGAAAGTGAATATCCAAACAGATTAAATTGCTTAGCAGAATAATTTCGAAATCTTTTGAATGAGAATCACTTTAGGCCTTCTCTCTGTAGAGAACAAAACAAGCCAAGCTTGAAGTATGACCACATTAATGCTACTGTTAAAGATATCCATTTCATAGCCCAACAACCTTAAATTACAATAAAACCCTGCGTATCTAAGCTATGCGTGAATGGTTGTGTTCGGGTTGGAATTGTTACTTGATGTGTCTGTCGGGCATATAACAGATCTTCGGCATCACTCGCGCTCTACATCAAACGTATCAGATGGTGAGCTGTGAGATTTTGATATTGCCACACCGAAGTGACCAAGTAATGCCAAAATTTGAGCCAATTCCCACTGACACGATGAACCAAGAGCGAGCATTTCTTTGGCATGGTTTTTTTCTTCTTCTAAAAAATCCCCTCCCTCTTTGCGAAAAAAAAAAACGGAAAAGTTGTGATTAAGTAATGCGCTATAATGTGCGGTTTGAATGATATGAGTACAACTACCAGCAATGTGTAAGCATTTGTTAAACAAAATGCTATTAACATAGATATACACGACGACGACGACTGGTACTACGAAGAAAAAACACACTGCAACTCTATTTGCTGCCTCCGCCTCATGGGGCTACTGTAAAGACCAACTAACCCAGCCCTGGCCGGCTACCTGGTCATGTATGAGTATGTCATTACAGAGGTATTAAGAAAATATTTTTTTGT